TCCGCCCACCCCAGGAGAAGGCCAGCACGGGGACCAGAGCGCGGCGAAGGAGGCCGGATGGCGCTGTCACCACGGCAGAGGCCAGAGGGGTCAGGCCCAGGAACCACCCTCCCACGGGTCCCTGGCTTCCGCCTTCCTGGGGACCAACACAGCACCTGCGCCCCCACCCAGCTCCGTGGGGTCCCTGACACCCATCACTCTATGGGGGGGGACATGTGGAGGAGCCCCCAGGCCCACCTGCTCGTGGAGATAGTAGTTAAACAGGATCAGGTAGAAGTACCGCTCCAGGCTCCGCAGCGCCCTCTGCCGGACGTCATGCTGGCCACCGCTTCCCTAAAAAAGGGCCAGCAAGGGAGGGCAGGTGCTAAAAATGGGGTTTCTCAGGCGCCCACTCTCCATGCCTGGAAGGATAGGAGGAGTTCAGCCTGGGGAACCCCAGAAGAGAGTCTCCCTGCTTCATACCACAGTTCTGCCAGGTTGGAAGTTCTCCTGTATATCTAACTCTACCTCATTTGCTATGGTTACCGGTGGGGCCAGGAGAGGGGCTGGCAACCACACCAGGCCCCGCAGCTCTGGTGCTGACCTGCTCTCAGCCTGGGGGGGCGTGGGGGCTACCGAGCTCTCCTCCGAGGCCACCCCCATCATGTCCATCCTGTTCCGCGTCCTCTGTGCTGCAGGATCAAGTGTTCAGACCCTTTCCTTTCTCCAGAGGGGGCCTTCTTTAAGAACCAGGGACCTGAGCCGGGTGCAGTGTGACCCGTAATCCCAGTGGCTCAGGAGGCTGAGGCAGGAGGATCGTGAGTTCAAAGCCAGCCTCAGCAAAAATGAGGTACTAAGCAACTCAGTGAGACCCTGTCTCTAAATAAAACCCAAAATAGGGCTGGGGAGGGGGCTCAGCGGTTAAGTGTCCCTGGGTTCAATCCCTGGTACCGAAAACAAACAAATAAATCTCAAGACAAAGACCAGGTAGCCCCACGGGGACCAGCTAACGCTGTAAAGTTACAACAAGCAGAAGGTAAACTGTGTGTGAGGGCAACTCAGGCCCGAGAATCCAGACACCTGCTCCCAGAGCTGTGCCGAACGGTGGTGACCTCTTCCTGACTTCTCAATTCTGTCAGAGAGCACCCAGGGCCCAGCAGCTTCCAGAAGCTGAGACAGGACCACATCCTGGTCTTGACAGAGAGACCCCAGGAGCTTCATTCCTGAGGGGCGCTGCCGTATGCTGGATCTCCAAAGCCCCCCACAGGCCCCTGTGCTATAGGCTCGGTCTCTTCCACGTTTAAGAAGTGGGCCAGGCCAGGTGTGGGGAGCCTTGTCCGTAACCCCAGTGACTCAGGGGGCTGAGGCAGGAGGAGCGCAAGGTTGAGGCCAGCCTCAACCACAGTGAGACCCTGTCTCAAAATACAAAATTAAAAAGGGCTGGGGCCATGGCTCAGTGGTAAGCTGCCCTGGGTTCCCTGCCCAGCACAGGACAGGGGGTGAGGGGGTAGGGAGGGCTATTATGAGTGGGAGGTCTTTAGGTCATGAGGGTGGGACCATGGGACCCCCCCCACCTCTCCCTTGGCTCCCAGGCCATGACATAAGCGGTTTTGCCCTGCCACACATTCCTCCTGACTCTCCACAGGTCCAAAAGGAACAGGGCCCTTCCATCATGGACTGAAACTTCCCAAATGATGATCCAAAGTAAACATTTTCTCTTTATAAGCTGATCGTCTCAGGTATTTCATCATAGCAGCGCGAGGCCAATGCAGGAACTTGAGGGATCTGGGAAGTGTCCCAGCTCAAGCCCCAGCCCCTGGCAGCTCCCTCCATCCTGTTTATCCTCACAGCTCAGGGACCCGGTCAGGGAAAGTAAACTTCCCCTCTTCCTCGGCCTTCCTGCAGGCCAGCACCCCACCTCCCCTTCCTCTGGAAACTCCTTTTCTTGTGGGAGAAGCAGCCAGAGAGGCCGATCTCAAAGAAGCGGGTCACAGCGCTAACCAAACCTGGCTGCGGCCTCCCAGGAGGCAGAGGCCCCGAGCCGCCTCCCTGGGCCTCACCTGCGCCCTGCTCTGGGTGGCTCCCAGCTGCCGCTGGCCCTCCAGGACCTCCTCCTTCAGATCATGCAGCTCAGAGCAGGCGGCGATGGCCCTGTCTACCTGGAGTCAGGGACGGGCAGTGAGGAGGACAGGAGAGAGGACAGCGTCAACAGAAGACCGTGGGCAGGGAGAAGGCCTGAGGAGGGGAGGCCCCCTTGCCCGCGCCCGGCCCTGCCCGCCCCTCACTCACCTCCTCCACCACCTTCCTCCCCTGGGGCGCGGTGCAGAGGAAGCTCTGGACCACCTGGAACTGCTCCAGGGGCAGCGGCCTCGTCTGCGGAGGGACGGCCCTGACAAGGCGGAAGGTTAGCCACTACTCAGGGCTCCCTAAGGCTCTGGGACAGCTGTGCTGCCCACTGTCTCCCCTCCCACTGCCACTGGGAAGCAGGGGACTGTAGGCTCCTCCTGGATCCCCAAGGGCATTTCTCCCACTAGGAAACTGAGCCCAGAGAGGTCAAGTTCCTCTCCCCAGGTCACGCAGCAAATCTGTGACCAGCCCCAGCTCTGCCCCTAGGTTCCTGGATGTGTCCCATCATCCTGGGCAGCCCTGTCCCCTCCTCTCCCCTGCTCATTCCCACAGCCCCTGGGGACTCCGGGTCCCAAGCCACTCACTCTGGCTGTGAGATCGTCCCACTGTGGTGAAACAGCACGAGGGTGCCCAGCACCATGCCCAGGTTGGTCCTGCCCACGCCTGACTGGCAGCTGAAGAGGAGGGCCGGGGGAGGCCCGTGGGCG